ACCCACTAGGCCCATTGTGCATCCTCCTAATTATATAGGCACCTCCTAGCTCGTGAGCCAGCCTACAAGTTTAATGTAGTTGACAACGTCTCCAAGTCGTGACTCTCTTATATCGGCCGGTGTTATATGTCAGTCATTAGAGATAATCAATTCACATTAATTGCAAAAGTTTTTAAATTTTGTTGAATATTTATTAAATTGAAATAATTGTTTTAGTTTTGAAACTTTTTTTGAGGTCCAGAACATACTAATAATTGCAAAAAATAAAAATTTAATATAACTTTCTAAAAAATATGCAAAAGTGCTGCAAACTTAAAGCAATATACAGTATGTCCTCCTGGGTTGGAATCATATGGAAAACTTTTTTATTATTAATTTTAGGAAAAAAATTATTCTTCATAAAAAGTTCTGCATTATCTAAAACCTAGAATACAGTCATCAAATGTCAAATTCTTTTAGTAATATACGAGGTTTGTCAAAAAATATGAGTTTTACTCAAGAGGAAAGTATATTTATACGACTGATAAAATTTGATATTTGATGGTTGTATTTTAGGTTTTAGATTAGAACAGTTATTACTCTCAAGACTGAAAAAAGAAATAGAAATCAGTGGAAACCTAGCTGAAGAACAATACGGTTTTCGAAAAAAAAAAAGATCTACAGTCGAAGCCCTTCAAAAAGTGCAAGAAATTGTTGATGAAGCCAAGAAAATAGGAAGGAAAAGGTGTATTCTCGTAACAGTAGACGTACGTAACTTTTAACTCTTCCCCGTGGAACGGTATCCTAGAAGAAATAAAGAGGAGACATATAGCGCCGTATGTCTACAACCTAGTAGCTAGCTACCTAGAAGACAGAAGGCTCTACGTGGAACAGAATGGAAAAATGGTCATCACTTGTGGAGTTCTTTAGGGATCTGTACTAGGACCAGCCCTGTGGAATATTTACTACGATGGTATAATGAAAATTCCGGTACCGCGAGGAGTCAAGTTGATAGCCTACGCAAACGACCTTGGAATAGTAATAACAAAAAAAGACGAGGAAAAACTGGGGACAATTACAAATAAAGTACTCTCAAAGGTGACAAAGTGGCTATACACAAAAAGACTTAGCCTAGCCCCAGAAAAAATAAAGGTGGTTATTCTAGCAGGAGGACGAACGCTGAAAGAAATAGAAATCAAAGTGGAAGGCGTGAACATAAGAAGCAAGGAATGTATTACCTGGGAATATACTTTGAAAGAAATATGATCATGGGTCAGCATGTCAGAAATGTTGCAGAGAAAGCAAGTAAGGCAATCGAAAACATAAGCTGGCTGCTACCCAATATTGGAGGTCGACGGGAGGGGAATAGAAAAATACTATTCACAGTGGTGCACTCAATTATGCTTTAGGCGCCACCATATGGAGCAGAGCAATGAAAAGAATGATATACCAAGACGTACTTCTAAGGGTGCAAAGAAAAGCTGCAATAAGAATAACGAGCTCGTATAGGACCGCGTCGACAAAAGCGCTATTGGTGACAGCAATAATACCACCCCTATATTTTCTAGTTGAAGAAAGCTGCGCTATGCTAGAGGAAATAGAAACAAGAACAGCGACTGAAAGAATTATACACAAGTGGCAAGAGGAATGGGAGGCAGAAACAAACGTCGGACAGTGGACGAAAAGACTTATACCCACTCTAGATCCATGGCTCAAAAGAAAGCATTGAAAAATTACATATTACCTTACGCAATTATTCTCTGGGCACGGATGCTTTCAGGCATACAGATGCAGATTTAAGGTGGCATATAATGAAGAATTCATATACTGCAAAATCAAAGACACGCGCCTGAGCATACCTTTTTCGAGTGCGATAGATGGATGACTGATAGAACTGAAGTATAAAACAGTATGGGAAAGTTAACATCAGATACTAAACAAAATGTTAGAAAAGAAAGAAAACTGGAATACCGTTAGCAAGTTCGCAAAACGTATCATAGAAACAAAAGAGAAGGCTGTAAAAGCAATAGATGTACAAGGAAAGGTCCAAAATAACTAAAACTTCGCTCTTCCGAAGCAATGCCTACAGCAGTACCAGGAGCAGCCACTTAAGAAGACCAAAGGTGTTTTAGTGGGTATACTGAGCGGATCTGAACGTTCCCAGGAGTCTCCACATTATCCTATTTGACTCAAGCAAAGAATGTCCTTAACGGGTTTCACCTCTTAAAAAAACATCTATTGGACTGACATATGTAGTGACAGGCCTAATTAGGAAACATTCCCTTGTGAAGTTTAAAAAAAAGATATGAAAAATCAAGAAGCTGCAGATGTGTAAGGAAGCTTTTAAGTTTTTCGGACAACACTATAATGAACAAGCATCTCAATATCATGGGACCGTTAGAATCCCCACTCTGCAGGGCATGTGAACAGAAGATTTGACCATCGAGTATATCCTCTACGATTTCCCGATGCTCCTATTTATTAGAAGATTTGTGTTCGGCGAGAATTGGCTAATATGCCAGTCAATGAAGACATCCTATTTTGAACATTTTACATTAATTACAAAAGTATTCAAACTTTGTAATAACAATCTGCTAGTTTAAAGTATAAATTTGCAACCCCTTCTAAGGTCCGGAACTAGTTAATTTATAGCAAAATGTGTTTGTTTATATTACAGACAAAAAAATTGTAAAAGTGCTGTAACCGATTACATAACTCATATAAATTTTTGGAATTTTTTAACTTTTATTTTGAACGGAAATATTTAAATATTCTTTTTGCAAAAATATCAAAATAATTTTTTATTTTCCTGTAATTTTTTAAAAAAAGGCAAAAGTTTTTAAAATTGGTTGAAAATGTTATTATTTCTCTCAACAATCTGGTAAATTTACAACTTAAGACAAGGTCCGGAACCTTGAAAAATTAACATAAATCAACAATTCCTACATTTTGCAGTCACTATAAAATTTGAAAAGTATTGCAAATTTTGCAGAACGATTTAAATACCTTCCTATAAGTAAATGCAAATTTGCAACGCTACAAGATTAATGCAAATGATAGAAAATTGTCTATGACCAATTTTGCTTTGTGAAATTAATAGAAAAGTGTCTAGGGCAACTAAAAAAATATTCATAAGCAATATGGAATTCGTAACCTTTTATTTATCAAGCAAAATATTTAAGTAATTTCTTGTTCTCGGTTTTTAACGAGTTTATGGAGAATATTTATATTTACCCCATATTAAATAATTGGCCGACACGGTATAAACTAGTACATAGAAGAGAAAACAATTAATATCGTAAATCGGGCCAAGAATAAGAAATTAACCCAATAACGTTCTAAATAGGCCACTTGGATAATACCTAAGGGTTTGTTTTGGGTCAAATCGAACCGTCGCGTCGGCGTCGGTCGATTGCAGTTTTGAAATAGAGTTGACTAACTTATTTTTCAAAAAATCGTCGCTATGTTATAACTATCAATTGAACTGGACGAGTGCAGTTTACTGATTCGCAAAAAAAACAAATCGTAGTAGATATTCCACAGGGCTGGTCCTAGTACAGATCCCTGAGGAACTCCACAAATGACGACCATTTTTCCATTCTGTCCCACGTAGAAGCCATCTGTCTTCTAGGTAGCTAGCTACTAGGTTGTGAACATACGGCGCTATATGTCTCCTCTTTAGTTCTTCTAGGATACCGTTCCACGGGGCAGAGTTAAAAGTTACGTACGTCTACTGTTACGAAAATACACCTTTTCCTTCCTATTTTCTTGGCTTCATCAACAATTTCTTGCACTTTTTGAAGGGCTCCGACTGTATATATTTTTTTTTTCGAAAACCGTATTGTTCTTCAGCTAGGTCTCCACTGATTTCTATTTCTTTTTTCAGTCTTGAGAGTAATAACTGTTCTAGTAGTTTTCCGAGAACGTTTAATAGGCAGATGGGTCTATATGCCTTGTTGTTCTGGCCATGCTTACTTTTCTATATTAGCACGAGCCCTTTTAGGATGCTCCTTTACTATTGCCTTTATGCTTTCCGGGACAAACCGTCTGGTTCTGGTGCTTTTTTTCTTTTACTTTATTGCTGGCTACGGTAAGCTCTTGTTTTGTAAATATCGGTATATTTTCTTCGTCCGCCGGTAGTTTCTCCCATTTTCTTACAGGGTGTGATGGGGATAGTTTTTCTGCCACCTCCATTTGTTTCTCTTCACTCAGCACCAGTGGCGAGGTATTTCTTAGCTTGTCCATTACTATTTTCTATCATTAACCCCATATATCTTGGTATACTTCTTCTACTACTTTTTTCCAGGCATTTCTTTTTGCTTCAGCGATGGATTTCTTTAGGTTTGCTCGACTTTCTCTGTAGGCTTCAATGGCAGCCATTTTTTTAATTTAAAAGTTTTTCGTTTTTACTCTAGTCATTTCCCTTTTTGCTTTAATACAGACTATTCTTTTTTCTGCGACCTCATCTATCCACCAGTAGACGGGTTTTTTATGTGTAGCTTTCGATGTGGCGTGACCTTTGATACATCTTAAGTTGACCACATTGTTGATAGATACTTCGGCCAAAGCTTCGTGACATTCTAGTACTAATCCTGAATACATTCGTGGTCTGTTAGGGGTGAGTAGTGCTTGTCTGCTATCTGTATAGATGATCATGTTTCTACCAGTGATAATATTTCTGGGGATTTCTTCTGCTGCTATAGGAATCCCTGTTAGCTCGGTTTGAACTACACTGGCACTACAGTGAATGGTCCTTAAACCACTGTCCTATAATTTTGTACTTGCATTCTTTCGCAGAGTATGTTCTCAAAATTCTCTGTTTGCAGAATTACCAGGTCATTTGCATATGCTATTGTCTAGTGACTGGCTTCCAAGTAGATGGACGTCAAAGTTAAAGGGAAATGGTTTAAATATTTAAAGGTGGTTTTATCATGTTGTAACAGAAAAGTATTTTCGTGAAATATTACATCATTTTCTCGGGTGGTAGGAGGAGTATAAATAGGGTTTTATCCGTAAAAAAAATGAATTTGTATTACAACGCAACCCCATGTTGGGCGCCATTTTATAGCGTTAAGCGCTTTTATTTACATTTTCAGAATATAACATTTGGATATGTTTTATTTCAGAAACCACCCTTAAAACGAGAAGATTCTTTTTTACAACGTTTTTCTACGAGGCAAATACCGGAAACACAAGAAACTGTCGAGGACACTGGCAGCGAAGGAGGTACTGCAGGTATCTTTTTAAAACTAAAATTATTACAACTGAAAGCTGAAAAATATACTATGAGAATATACATAATTATTTTTCAGGTGATAACCACTCAGCGCCTCGTCGAAGAAGACGTCACCGAAAACAACCGAAGAGCGTTGTTAATCCAGACTCGAACTTTTATTTTTATTGGTTACTAGTTTTGACTGTGTGTGTTTTGTACAATCTTTGGACTTTAATAGTGCGTGAAAGTTTTCCTGAACTTCAGGTGAGTCATTTCGAAATAATTGGCTTTAATTATATTAATTTCAACTTTAAATCGCCTTCGTCAATCACTAAGTCCATTTTATATAATGTGTTGCGTCTAAAGAAGTAGTAGGGAAGCTATTTGTTAAACCGTGAACTCCTGGTAGGTGTGACGTTCTTGATCAATCTTACTGCTTGAAAGCCCTGAGATATTTTAGGAATGCATTTTTTGATACAAAATAATTATAACACTACTTACCTAACTTTTGTATTTCCAAACTGTTCTTAAGCTGCATCTCCTTCTATAGCGGGTGGTCTAAGCATCTCGAATATTCCTTTTTTACTAGCAAAACAACCGAAGAAAATGGAAAAAACTAAACCACAAATAAACATATACTACAACAGATCCAACGGAAGTTATGGGTTCTTGACAAAATGCAAACGAGAAAAAGCAAACGAGAAAAATATAGGGAGCTTATAAACACAAACACACAAGTCAAGTACATTTCCATTCTAGTGTATGGTATAAGCACGTCATATAGTGTGATTTTAAATTTTTGAAGCCAGCCGGCAAAATACAAAAAAAAACTAAGGAGACTCATTCATCACTTTTAAAAATAGTAGAGGAGCATTCAAGAGATTGAGTATACTTTTTTAATTTGTACTTCCCTCGATAAAAAAAAGTATTGTAATCGCGACAATTTAGATTTTTACGTTTTCGGATCCCTAGATTACGAAAAATGTGTTTCCCCTTTCCGTCGGTGTGTCTGCCATCCGCCGACTGTTGTCTGTCGTCTGTCTGTTGGAGCCATAGCTAAAAAACGGCTTAGGACAAAAACTTCAGATTTTGTATGCAAGTAAATCTTCCTCTTGACTCAAAACTGGTTATAGTTCCGGTCAGATATATACAGAGTGAGCAGTTAAAAAAACAAATGTGACAAAACATAAGTGACATTTGTTCAAATGGCACTTATGATAGTCTGGCAAAAAGGTATCGATATACTCTATACTTTATAAAATATTTGTTACATTAGTTTTTAAATATATTATGAATATATAACAACTGTTACTTTCTTTGTAATTTGTCACCAAATGATACGAGGTATGGCAAAAAGGTATGGATATGTTATGACTGTTTATTTTAAAAGAAACCATGGAAACGAAACACACATACACTCAACACAAATGTATAAGGTCCGAGTCAATAAGTTCCCATCCTGTAAACTGGATCGAAACCTGCTAGACCCCTGCTAACTCCTCTTATAGTAATCAAGATCAATAGATTTATATGCCATGCCTTCTAAAAGGGAATGAAGGATGACATACTATCATCATTTAAACAGGACGTTGCTGAAGGCTTACCCCTGTTATTTCGTTTGTTTGTGTATCTTGTGTGTGTGCATTCCTGTTGTGTCCCCAGTCATGTAAAAGTTTTCCTAGTCTCCTAATTTGGTTACTAGGTGGACCTTCTCCAACTAGTAGTCTAATCTATTCGATCTGTTCGGAAGCAGGAGGTACTTTCAAACATTGCAAATAATATTATTAATAATAAACACTATTTAAAGATAAATACATTTTTGTAATTTTTTTGTTCTTGCCCCTTACCTTTCTCTTACACCACCAGGGGTATACCTATTTTCCATATTCCCTTAATTATAAATTACCTTACAATGTTCGAATGAATATAACATTTTATTCATGAAAAATCTAATTTCATATTTAACTCTTTTTCAATTTCATTTAAAACAATAATTGGTACCTATATTACAATTTATTATCAAATAAAATTTCTAATAAAGTTATAGCAAATCCTACTTAAACTACTGGTTGTTCTGCAGGATAAATTAACTTTTCTTGAGATTGATCTCTCTATAAAATCCAAAACCGACCTGATGTCCCCAAATTTATTTTCCAATGCATCTTGATTTAAAATTCTGCCCTTTTGTGATTCAATTTTTTTTTTCTTCCTTTAGAGTGGCTGTTAGAGGTAGGTGTATGTAAGAAATAGCTAATCTCTAATCATTTCAAAAGTCCTTTGTCAATACTACATGTGCAGATTTTTTACTCAGCATACATTTTACTTTTTTAGTAGAGGAACTTTGTGCTGCCATTAAAGCTGTCCAGACATTCATCTACCTACTTAATGAACACAAATAGCTGTAACAATGGATCTCTGTTCCAATTTACCTAAAATAATTATAGTCATTGTGTAATATATTATTAAACACACACATTATACAGTGGTTTTCTTAATAAATTGGAAATTACTTACCTCTAGAAAGAAATGTGTACAAAAACGCGAGTTTGGTTCCAGAAATTTCTTCATGCAAAAAATAATATGCCAAAATAAACATTCCCCCCCAAAGAAAATTAATTAAACAACAAAATCAGACTAAAAGAAATATACGGGGCCCAAATTAAATTAATTTTAATAAAATGCACATTTTCATAACAACATTCATAACATTGTCAGTTGTCAGTTTTAATACTTTTAATCGATATTTCGACGTCAAAAAACCAGCAACACCAGCGCCCTCTGAAAATGGTGTTAGTTTTATTGGACAGAGATAGACATATGTAAAGATCAATGTAAAAGAAAAAGAGGGTCATATATGTAATTTAAATGGACCACCGAACATATTTTCCTATTAAGTTAAACGTCTCTGTTGTCTCTGGTAATATGAATAAAAATCTGATGTGTCCAACACATAACTTTCATATCTAGTTATTACAGGCTTTTTTCCGGTTATTTTGTACAACCTATATTGCAGCACCTCTGTAAAGGTTCAGAGGATAAACTAGATATATACATTTTCCACATACTTCTAACTCGAAACATTTTTTATATATCGCACACCTAGATCAAAACTGTAACAACTCAAAAAAACACGTTTTTCAGAAATATTGAAAAACTCATTGTCGTGTCTCCATATCTGATAGGAGTTTAAAGTTTTTTTTTTTGTGAATAGACAGTGCACATTAAAGAATATTTTGATTCAAAAATATTATACAAATCGTCTAAGTAAGTTAGAAATGTGATTTTTTGATTTTTTAACTTACTACAGTTTTGTACAACAAACTACTTATTTTTTTTTATATTTAAACTTAAATCGATTTTGTTGAAATTTTTTGATTTGATTCACTTTTAAAACAAGCAAAAAGTATAACGGCCAATTCAAAAAAAGGGTAGGTTCTTTATATAATTTTATTTGGGTCGAATGATAAAACAATGGATACAGAGAAATATAGTTTTATTAAGTATGACATTTTTCTATGCAAAATTAGGGAGTATAATTTCCTAGAAAACTTCAAAAAACTCATTAACTCATTAACAGTCTCACAATTTTTTAATTCATCTTATCAAATTTCAAAACGTATAACTAACTATAACTAAATATAGGAAATATATTTATTCTAATTTCTCTACATACATAGGTAAAAATTGAGGTAAACCTAAAAAAATAAAAATATTGTTTTGTTATAGATAGGTAATAATATAAAAATTTAATTATGATCTTTAAAATAGGATGCATAGTACTGTCTTGAAATTACGTTCTTATCAATCAGTTCTTGAATATCGTTTTTTTTTTTCGCATCAGATAATGGAATTTTTCCTGTATATGCTTACGTCAAATCCACAGAAATAAACTACTCATTAGTTACACTTTTCCAGAGTTTCGTAGTATTTTCGAAAATTTCGTTTTCCATGTCGATGGTTTCCGAACTCTTTTCTTTCCTTTTCTTCCTTCTGTCCAATCTTTAGCAATAGTAAGTTTCTGAGAGTCATTAAATTCAGTATGTACTTCGGAGTTTAGTCGATCAGTATCAAGGTGGACTACATTTTCATCTTCAGTCTCAGAATTAGAACTACTGCTACCGCTTGATGAACTACTGGAACTGCTGCTGCTTGAAGATGAAGAAGAAGCAATTACCTTTTTAAATGGTCTTGTTTTTGCAACAGGAATCACAAAATTTGGATCCGCATTAGAATCGTCAAAGTCACTTTCATCACTTCGGTGCGGTGAAATATAGCAATCGATTTGTTCATGTTGTATTAACTGTACTTTAGAGGTGCTAGTGCTTGGACTGGAAATATTGACGATAGGTGAATCAATGTTTATTTCTTGATTTGACAGATCGGTTGATAATGCCAAGGATTTTGATTGCTGGGTTGAAATTGCCAAGTCTTCTTCTATTGATACTGGTTGTAACTTCAAGTATTGAGATGGTTTATTAGGGCTAACATTTTCCTTATCTTTTTTTCTACCATATTAACTTATTAACTATCCATGCGCGTTCAGTTTTCTAAAATAATAAAAAAGTCCTAATGTATTCTTAATAACCATGAAAAGTGTATCAACTCAAAAATAATCACTTAGAAACACAACTAGCAATATTTTTACGAAGGCACAATCAAAAGGCTCCTTCAACTTTAAATAAGCATTACAGCACTTTATCCAAAATTAATTTGCGATAATTTCCTATGAAATAGTATGAATAAAAGAATTACTCAACAAAACTGATATATCTGAAAATGTCTAAAGTTTTTCTTCTAAACCAAAAGAAGTCAAAATAGGCATATATTTTTCACTTACCTGAGTAATGAAAACTGTTGCAACTCAAAATACAGTAGTAAAGGTTCAACAATTCGATCAAAATCTACTCACTAACACTGGAACAACTCCAAATAATAAAACACAAATGCACAAACTCAATAAATCTGTTGCAACTCAAAATAAAACAGTTTTATACTACTAATGTACCTGCAGTCTGGTTGATAGCCTAACAGAAACTAATATTGCTGCAGTTTAGATGGGCGAGTCAAGGGTGCATTTATTCAACAAAAAGTACTTAAAGCGCCATATTTTGGAAGGTGTTTAAGATATTAATAAATCTGTTTTATTGGTTCATGCAACTTCGTTTGTAGAATAGGAATAAATGATTAACTAAAAAATCTCAATTTTAGAGTTAATACTGTTTTGATTTGGGTGTGCGATATATTCATTGTCAACGAACATACTG